ACCAACACCACCCCAAGACTAATGATGCCACCACCACAAGTAATAACACCACCACCTCCATGACTAATGATAGTAACACCCCCAAGACCAATGATAGCAATGCCTCCACAACTAATGATTCTAATGCCTCCGGGGTTGTTATCCCAATAGGTTATGTATCTAGGTCGTATAGTTCCAGATCTTGTAAGTAAAGTTTATGATATGTAAATATTTTATGCCTTGGCATGAGCTCCGCTCTACAAAATAATTTCTTCAAAATATAAACACCTGGGACTTAGTTTCTTTTTCTATTCAAACTAGATAATATCTCTGATAACCCGATTTCGCATTACTACGAACATGGAGATAGGGATAACAATTCTCTTAAAAGTTATATGTAGTATTCAGCTGGTGATGATGATGGTAGTGATAATGATTACGTTCCTTAATGTATAGTTAGAAAAAAATTATTATTTGTATATTATATTGTCGTTCCGGCAAAAAAAATATTAAATAAAGAAGGGGCCCCACGGCCTTCCCATGTTTTATTTTTACATGATTCTTGTAATGCAATTTGCGATTATTAACCTATGCTCTTATGGTTACTATTGGAATTGAATTCTGATATTTATTTATATAACAATAGAGATGATAAGTTTTTGTATTGACATATTCGCCACTACCCCAAATACCCTCTATATGATTTCTTATATTTTCTTTTTTATGGTTTTTATTACATAAAGGACAGAGTACAGATCTATTAAAATCAAAATAATTACTATATTTAAAACTATGTTTCAAAGTTAAATAAGGAAATCGCTCTAATATTATTTTAATAACGTGTTTTTGTTTTTCTTCCAGGTCTTTAGGTAGAATAGAAATTGATGATTGAAGTTTGGATAGTGTAGGCCGAACATTTATCTGTGGTACAAATAATGTCTTTTTTCCGGCATCCTTTTCGATTTGTGGTGATTCGGGAGTTTCAGACTTTATCCAAGGATCGAGTCCAGTCTCTTCTGTATATGCTCTATATAAGCTTGAACGGATTTTATCTGTCAAATGGCTTGGCGAATCAACCAATTTAGCATGCCAGTCCGAATATTCAGGAGTCAAGACTTTATCCATGTTATTGTTTTATACGATCACAAATTCAAATTAAGTATGAGTCATGACTTTGTCTTATTTATATAACAAGGATACTTACGTGCTGACACTCTGTGCATATTCCGAAATAGTAACTAAAAAAAATAATATAGTTAATATTTACGATCATTTGAAACCGGAGAATTTGTCGAAAGCAGTATGTCTTTATAATTTATGCTATTATCTCGATTTCATGCTTTCCACATTTAATAAAATAAGATCTAGCTTCATATCTACCCTTTACACTTTTTTTCTTCCTTGTGACTGTGCTTGCATACTAGACATAAGGACCCTCATGAATTCCATAATAATCAAATTTTTCACTACTAAATTCTTTATATAGATCAGAATATCTCCACAATATCTTATTACGAAAGTAAGTATGGTCATGGATTGCCTTAGTTTCCAGTAGAGTTTTCTTGGCCTCCTCACTTACCTCAATTTCTGGTAATTTTGACAGTGCCAACTCTGCTGATGAATCGTTTGAGCTAGATAGATCTGACATATGCGCGTGACAATTTGTCACACCGATCACTTTTTGGCAACTCATATCAGTTGTCTTGAAAAAATTATTTATAATATTTTGAATTTGATTATCCTTTAAACTTGAAATAGCACTTGCGCTGTAAGTTATTTAACTAATTTTATCAATTTCTATTTCTTCATATAATATATATACTTTTTTTGCTCTGGAAGTTATTTTACACAAGTTTACATCAGTGATATCAGGAAGGAGCAATTTTATTTCATTATACACTATCATTCTTGCCGATTGGTCATCAATATTATTTGCAGACTTAATATCACTAACTCGATTTTCGTATGCTTTATAATAACAATACCAGCACAGACTTTCTTTTTGTTGAACCTTCATTGCTACCCTAAATAGATCAACTATATTTTGCGATATAACCTTATCAGATCTTGTTAAAATCGCTTCTAAAGAAAATTCAGAAATCTGAATATCAAATACTTTATTAATATTATGGTTATTATCTTTGGTGCAAATCAATAGCTCGAGTCTTAAACCTCGTTCTACTTTTTGATTATAAGGAATTTTCTGATTAGGCAATAGATTAGTAAGTGATTTGGACTCAGAGCTTATCTCTGGAATATTCAGATTTGAACTCTTTGGATTCGTTTCGATTATAATAGCTTTTATATCATATAATGAATTAGACTATTCTGAAAAATTATTATCTGAAGATAAACCTTGAGATCTAAGCTTCTTCCCCCGATTCCTTTCTCTTATTTTATCACTAATCTGTTCTTTATGTACCTGACCCAGAAATTCGATCTCTTTGTCTTCCGGTAATTTAGACTCTATATGAACGGATGATATGGAGCATTGAATCTTCGACTCCTAATATACATCAGAACTTAAAGCGTCATCAATTATATTAGATTAAGGGGTATCACCCTTTAATGATTTTATAACAAGGTTGGGTATATTAACATCATTTTCATATGAATTATCACCATTTTCTAATCTACATACATTATTGTTTTGCTTTTGCTCCAATTTTGCAAATCGTTCTTCATTTTCTTTTGCTAACTATTCTAGTTCTATAATTCTTGCATTAAGCTCAACATCTCTTAACTTTGCTTTCTCAGTATTTTCTTCTATAATCTGTTTTAGCTCAGTCTCAAGTGCATTTTTTTCTTTTACTATTTGTTCTAATTCTGCGATCCTAGTCATAAGCCTAGCATTTTCCAGTTTTAATAAGCCAACTTCAGATAAATCTTTAGATTTGTCTCTTTGAGTTTGCATGTTTGATATTAATTTATATAATGTTTGAAAAAAGGATTTTACTGTACGCATTTTGAAAAATATTTTTGCTTCGCTCTTAATAGTTAATGTTTTTATTCAAATAAAAAATTATGTGTGCATGACAATTTGTCACACTGATCACTTTGAAAAGTTTACAGGATTTACACAATCTGTCAATAATTTTTAGAATCACTATTAATTCTGACATCTTTAGAATTCAACTTTACTTCGATCTTATTATAAAGAATATTAACATCAAATTTCTATAATTTTATTTCTAGTTTTTGAAAAAGTTAAAATAATAAGTCTTTAGACTTTAGTCTTAATAAATTTCAGAAGAAATATATGCAAATAGTCAGTTGAAGGATAAGAACATTTATATTAAAAATAATTAATTAATTATAGAAATTATACAAATAATAAAATAATTAAGACTTCTTGCTTCCTAGTCTAAGATTTTGAAATTTTTTTTCGGCAAGATGCATAGGTAGATGCCTATAGACTAAATTTGTTGTTTATAAAAATCAGATGGTTTTGGTCGTTTGTTACAATTCATTGCTATCTTTGATAAAACAAATGATATTATGTTAATCTGGAATTAATCCTTGTTCCATGCACCTTCCTCTGTTTTATGCAATAAATGTCCTAATACACAAGCTTTTTTCTCTTCAAATGCAATTCCTATTTCCAAAAGTTTTTTGATATTTTCTTCTAGGCCTACTTGATATTGCTTCTCTTCAATTTGAAGTAATCCTTCTTGAGCCACATCGTGTAAACTTTTTTTATCACGAACAACTTTAAATTTAATGATAATAGCCGTCTCATTAATACCTGGTTTTGGAACTATTTTTATATCATATCTCCCAAAACCAGCCTCACGATTAGAATGAACAATAAACCCTTGATCATGAGCATTAGCGAACACTCCTAAACAAAATACATGATAAACATATTCTGCATTTTTTCCAGAATTAGACCCTCCAACCTCATAAAACGAAAGCATATCTACAATCATATTTTCAAATTCTTTACTAAATAAATCAAGATTTCCATGTAAAAGATTATCTAACATTGATGTGATAGTTTGCCCTTGAGTAAAAAATAGTACATTGATTACCCAATTATGCCATTCTGAACGAATCTCTTTATTTGAAATAACAAGATGCTTCTTGGAATTCATAGTAAGGTATTCTGCATAATAAAGAAGTGTCCAAATAGCCAAATCTTGACATTGATCCAAATGTAAATATTGAAGATCATCCTGAATCTTAGCATTATTTATATTTTTCCCTTTTAATAACTTTTTAACGGATTCCTTAAATGAAAAGCTTGCTTTCCATAGACATTTTTCCAATGTTTGAGTACTTCCCGTATCTGTCCAATATGCACCCAAGATACCATATGAAAGCAGACGAACAATAGACCGCAGATTATATAAATAGGTACTCCTTCCTGAGATATAGCCATCATACTACTTTTGAACGTCATTAATTTGCAAATTTTTACGCAGTAACAATAATAATTCTATCTTATCGGACATGAATCCAAATTTATCTACATAAAGAGAAGATGAATCTTTGTAATTTTCTTGATAGAAAGGATATATCGTAATATTATTTAACCCAGACAGGAACCCAGATTTTGCAATCCGTAATACACCAACCAACATAGCTTTTGCAATATTTTCATCATTGCTCTAATATTCAATTAGAAACAAATATGAATTTTTTGATTAGACTATAATAAAAATTATGAATATGCCTTACCTTCAATAATGATGAGAACATGCCTTTAAAAAATTTGTTTGCAACTTCATAATATCCTTTATTATAGGCATATTCCATTGGAGAATCATATTCATCAATCAATACAATATATTTTTTTTTATAGTGTCATCGTAGATGCTTGGAAAGTGCCTTCAAAAAAAACTCCAATTGTAATTCAGGATAGGTCGGATCTCTTTTAAGAATTCTTTGAAATATCTTTTGATCCTTAGGATATAAACTGCTAATAAGGTAGTGGTGTTCATCATAAATTTCAGCTACAAGTGTTCTTAATTTTTCTATCATTTTATCCCATATTCCAGTGCTTAAATCCTTATTTGTGATATACTGTAAGTGAAAAAAAAAATAGAAAATCGTAATAAATAAAACTTAACAATGTCCAAACCTTAAGAGTAATATAAATGATAGGATATCACGCAAAATGTTTTTGCATAATTCCTTCTTCAGTTGAAATTTTTAGTTTTTCAAAAACTTTTCTGCTGATATCATTTTCTTCTTAAGAATATAGTATTTTAAAGAAACGGTTTAACATGGATAAATTTGTTAACTTGCCAAATCGGCGAGGGTGAAGAATAAGTGATACAAAATCCAAACTCTCAATAAACTCTTTTACGAGCATTGATTTATTAACAAAAGTGAGACAGTCGCTTATAATAGTTTCAAAGTTATCTTTTCTGACTGCAACACCTGCACCAAAGACAACCCTGGCATTATTGACTATATATTAAAAAAAAAATTTTTTTAATTCGTGAAGTATATGACTAAAATTACCAGTTAAAGGAAATAATATTTACGAGTCCTGGTATAAGGCTTAAAATTAGAACCTAACATGACAGTTTTCTGATCTTCTATATTTATGACAATTTATATGATAGAATGTCTGGGAAACACTCCATAAACAAAATATTTTCATGGGAAAAGTCTAAAAAAAGAAACTAACCATTTTTGTACCAGTACGTAACCCATTGCTACTATCAAATTCTGATCAAAAAAATTTTTTATCCAATCAAAAATTCAATTTTTGAATAATTTCAGATTTGGTTGGCTATAATTTCATTTTATTCCATTTTTATCTTAATAGAAGTATTACAACTTTTTTTTAATATTTTAGCAGAATCCAATCGCAATAATTATGAATTACATGTAGACTAGGGATGGGCAATATAATTTTTTATATAATCGATATGTATTTTTTAGGCCTTACATATTTTATGAATTATTACATATTATTACATAATTTTTAAGAGTAATAG